TTTGGCCCTTGGCCTCATTACAACCACATTCTAAGAGTGTCAAAAGGTGCACTTAAGTGCATATTACATAACTTAGACAATAAGTACAAGTTTTATCAAAGTAAGCAAAAGTAGGACAAGATATGCTAACATGTGCATATTCTATGTCATCAAAATATACTTCAAGAACTCTAATGAGTCTAAGAATACTGTGCATCCCACACTAAGGCTTCTTTACCTGCAAAACACCCATTAACTTAGGGGTGAGTAAACAAGTTTACTCGTAGGGAATGCATAGGTTTATCTTTATACCAAGTTACAATCCAATACCATTTAATTTATGCTATCAAGTGACAATAGAACTTTCAACATAACACAATGAGATGTAATTTTACAAAGTTAACAACTTGGAATTTAAATGCAAAATCAGACCAAAATGGATACTTGGACGTCACGCCGGATCAAACCGACAATGTGGTTACTTTAGGGTTACTAGCCCATGAGTAACCTCCCTATGTGCGCACTAGACTTGTAGAGGGACTTTCCCCCGTACTAGAACCATGCCCTAGCCATAGTCATAACAACGACATCCCCAAGTTTTCAAAATCAACATTTTGTGCACATTACATATATGTATCAACATAACATGTATATATACAATGTAAAGCCATCAACATGCACAAATCAATTTTAGAAACACAATACATGCCCTAAGTTCTCAACTAAAATGGCATGAAGAACATTGAATGATCATTATGCTATTTGCCACTAATTACAACAATATCATTCAACAACAAGAACATAACCTCACAAGTATGATATAAGTTAAAAATCATAATTTAAACAATTTAATAAAACAACTAAATTCCCTAGATTTCACTTCTCATCCAAACATGCTCAATTTAATATATATTGTAGTACATGTCATGGTTATTATATAAATCACTTCAAAAATTGATTTAAGTCATGGGAGCATATAAATAAAAATTAATTAAATTAATTCATTAATCCCTCTAGATTTTAAAACAACTCTAAATGACCTCAAATTAACATAAGTTATGAATCAAGCCATGGTCATGTTATTTATCAAGTTTAAAGTGAATTACATACAAGTCACAATTAATCATTTATTTCTCATTTTAATACAAGACAAACATATAACTTAGATATCACTATAGGAACAAATAAAATCACTTAGAAGATAAATGATAACACCCCCTACCTCAATAGAGAATTGAATCTCTATAATCCAAGCAACCAAGCTCAAAATGGAAAACAAGTTTAGGGTTAATAAAGAGGGGAGTGAGAGGAAGCTTTTGTCTTCCAAGGTTTTATGTCTAAGGTGAGTGGAAGGAGGCCAAAATGAAGAAAAAAACTATTAACCAAGCTTTTCTCTAATGGTGGTTAGGTTATGATTCTTGAAGACAAGTGAAAATGAAAATGATAAAGTGTAAAATGGTGAGTGGAAGGGCTAGAAATCATCCACTCACTATGTGCTCTTACACTACCTCTCTCACACACATAATGCAAGCCTACACTTGTCATGAGTCTATGGTTCATTCCTAGGCTTAATCTTAAGCCTACACTTGTCTCCATCCTATGTAAACTTCCAAGACTTAATATTGAACCTACATTTGTCAACCATCCATGCCAACAAGTGTACCAATCCTAGGCCAACAAGTGGGTGAATCTCCACCCTCCACATGTCATCATCCAACGCATCAAAGTGTTTCCATACAAATGTCAACAAGTGGACCAATGAGAGTGTGACACTTGTTACACTTTCCGGAAATTGCAAACAAGTCCTTTTTGAAAATATCTTCTAAATTAAATTGCAAAATGGTCCCTAAGACGAAAAATAATTACTTTACTTAATTACCCAAAAACCCCTCAAGTTATGGATAATTACAAAAAGTCTTGTTTTCATGACTTTTACAAAGAAAGTAACCATTTAATATGCATTTCTACAAAAGTAAAAATGTAGATATCATGGAATTTAAATACCATGAATGCATGCAAAATCGGAATCAAATCCGAGCACAACAAGTAAGGTTAGGCAAGGAAAAATGAAAGAAACGGGAAAAAGACGAAATAGGGAAAAGACAAAATAGGAAAAAGACGAAAAAAGAAAATCGCCAAAAATGGAAAAGGAGGAAAAAGGCCGAGTCATTACAACCTACCCTCCTTAAAAGGATTTTGTCCCCGAAATCGAGTCGTACCTGAAAAGGAGAACAAATGGAGATACCGTGAGCGAACCTCCTGTTCGAGCTCCCAGTTAGCCTCCTCAACACCGTAATGTCTCCACAAGACCTTAGCCAATGGAATGGTCTTGGTCCGCAAGACCTGCTCCAGTGAATCAAGAATCTGGACCGGACCTTCCTCGTAGGTCACATCCTCATCAACAACCGTATCAGTCCACCGCAGAACATGCGATGGGTCCGGCTCATACTTCCTCAACATAGAGACATGAATGACATCGTGAACCCTATCTAGGTCTGGCGGCAATGCCAAACGATAAGCAACTTCACCGACGCGCTCCAAAATCTCAAATGGTCTGATGAACCTAGGCGACAACTTGCCAGTCTGTCGAAATATTAGGAGCCCCTTACGTGGAGAAATCTTAAGAAAGACATGATCCCCTACCTCAAAAGACAATGATCACCTCCTCCTGTTAGCATAACTCTTCTGTCTACTCTGTGCGGTAGCCAACCGCTGCCGAATCAACTTGATCTTCTCTGTAGTCTCAATAACAATGTCGGGACCTAAGGCAACAGTATCATCGACCTCGGTCCAACAAACTGGAGATCTGCAAGGTCTGCCATACAACGCCTCAAAAGGTGCCATGCCAATACTGGCCTGGTAACTGTTGTTGTAGGCAAACTCAACCAAAGGCAAGTAGTCCTCCCAACTACCCCCAAAATCCAAGATACAAGCCCGCAACATATCCTCCAATACCTGAATGGTGCGTTCCGACTGTCCATCAGTTTGAGGATGGAATGTCGTACTAAAATGAAGCCCCGTGTCAAGAGCCTCCTGAAAACTCTGCCAAAAGTAAGAGGTGAACCGCGGATTCCTATCCGAAACAATGGATACAAAAACCCCGTGAAGCTTGCCAATCTGTCTCACATACAGTCCACTCAGTCTCTCTGCACTATCTGTCATTGCCATTGGTAAGAAATAAGCCGTCTTAGTCAACCTGTCAACTATGACCCAAACGGCATCATTCCCTGCCTGAGACCTCGGAAATCCTGTCACGAAATCCATAGTGATATGCTCCCATTTCCACTCAGCTACTGGTAATGGTTGCAACAATCCTGCCGGTCGCTGATGCTCTGCCTTCACTTGTTGACAAGTAAGGCATCGAGCCACGAATTATGAAACATCCTGTTTCATGCCCTGCCACCAAAACTGTCGTCGCAGATTGTGATACATCTTTGTACCACCAGGATGAACTGCGAGCCTAGAGTGGTGGAAATCCCGAAGAACGTCCTCACGACAAGACAATGGAACAAACATCATCCCCTTGTACCTGAGACCACCGTTTGAATATAAGGTCCAGCCCTCTACATTCTCGCAGCCTAAAATCCGAACATGGATGGCTTTCATCTCCTCATCCTCCAACTGTGCCTCAATAACTCTGCTAACAAGTGCCGGTTGAGCCACAAGGCTAAACAAAATAGCCGGTGAAACATCCTCATAACACTGTAAACCAAGATCTGCAAGCTCTTCTAGCATCTTCCATCTATGAAGGGAAATGCTAGCAAGAGTTCCCCGTGACTTCCTACTCAGTGCATCGGCCACCACATTGGCCTTACCCGGGTGATACTGTAATTCAAAATCGTAATCCTCCATAAACTCAACCCATCTGCGCTGTCTCAAGTTCAAATCCTTCTGAGAGAAGAGATACTTGAGACTCTTGTGGTCGGAGAAAACTTCAAACTTCTCCCCGTACAAATAGTGTCTCCACCCCTTCAGGACAAAGATAACTGCTGCTAACTCCAAATCATGTGTTGGATAGTTCAACTCGTGAGTCTTCAACTATCGAGACCCATAAGCAACCACCCGCTCTATCTGCATCAAGACACAACCCAAACCTTCTCGTGAAGCATCACAAAAGAACACATAACCTAAACCACGTTCAGGAATGATCAAAACTGGAGCCGATGTCAACCTGACCTTTAACTCCTGAAAAGCAAACTCACATGCCTCGTTCCATACGAACTTGACCCCCTTGCGGGTAAGTCGAGTCATAGGTGCTGCTAAACAAGAGAAATCCCGAACAAATCTCCGGTAATAGCCGGCTAGGCCAAGAAAACTTCGAATCTCAAACACTGTCTTTGGACGCTCCCAATCCATCACTGACTCAATCTTCGTTGGATCCACTGCAACGCCGCCCCTTGACACAACATGTCCAAGGAACTTCACTTCTGGTAGCCAAAATTCACATTTCTCGAACTTAGCATACAACCGATTATCCCTAAGGATCTGCAACACTGTCCTCAAATGATACTCATGCTCCTCCACCGAAGCTGAGTATACAAGAATGTCATCAACAAAGACTACAACGAACTGATCAAGATGGTCACTAAATACACGGTTCATTAAGTCTATAAAAGCTGCTGGAGCATTGGTCAAACCAAATGGCATCACTAGAAACTCATAATGGCCATACCGTGTGCGAAAAGCGGTCTTGGATACATCCTCATCCTTAACCCTAAACTGATAGTAACCCAATCTCAGATCAATCTTCGAAAAGCATGTCGCTCCCTTCAACTGATCAAACAAGTCATCAATCCTAGGCAAAGGATACCTGTTCTTGATTGTGACATAGTTCAGCTTACGATAATCGATGCAAAGTCTCAAAGACCCATCCTTCTTCTTTGCAAAAAGAACCGGTGCTCCCCAGGGTGAAGTACTAGGACGAATAAAGCCCTTAGCTTTCAAATCATCCAATTGAGCTTTCAGCTCATCAAGCTCAACCGGTGCCATACGGTATGGTGCCATAGAAATAGGTGCAGTACCGGGAATGACATCGATGGCAAAGACAACCTCCCGAAGAGGAGGGAGTTCTGTCAACTCCTCCGGGAAGACATCCAGAAACTCGTCTACAACTGTCGAAAAAACACGGCCTAGACTGCTACCCTCGTCAACTAACAGGCTAGCCAAGTAGGACCTGTGGCAACTCCAGTCACCGATGCTGAAAATCATCATCGGGTGGGAATCGCTCCGATCTCCCATGAAGTGAAAACAATCCCCCGCGGGAGTGCAAATAGACACTCGCCCACGGAAGTAATCAATCGTGGCCCGAAAGAAAGATAACCAGTCCATCCCAAGAATGACGTCAAAACCCATCATGTCGAAAACAACAAAATCAAACTCCAACATCCGTCCAGCTATCTCGATAGCACAACCCCGACAAACACGGTCCAAAAACACTGGACCACCAACTGGTGTGTCAATACAAAGGAAACCATCCCGCTGCGTGACCTCCAGACCCAAAGAATGTGCAAATGATGCAGATATGAATGAATGTGATGCACCTGTGTCAACAAGAACTCTAGCCCAAGAACTAAAAATTGGAAATATACCTCGAACTGTAGAAGTCCCTGCGGAGGTATCGGCCTGTGGCAGTGCTTAAGCTCGTCCCTGAGCCCCTGATTGCTGTGAACTACCCTGCTGAGCTGACTGATGTCTGGAAGCAGTAGGTGTAGGGTTCCTACCTAGATACGAACTGACTGGTGCAACTGGCTGTGGTGCTTGAGGCACCCTGAAACCTGACTATGCAACTGTCAACTGTGCCGATGTGGCCTGTGGGCCTGCGCCACTCTGTGCCCTGTTCTGTAGGTGCGGACACTCCCTCTTGAAATGTCCAGGCTGCTTGCAGTAATTGCAAACCCCCTGAAGTCTCTGCGTCGAAGCTGAAGACTTACTAGTCTGAGAACGACTGCCCTGAGACTGTAACTGTGGGCAACGAGGCTTGATGTGCCCCGGCTGCTGACAGTGGTGACAAATGACTCCCCAGGCTGACCCCGAAGATACTAGACCTGCAGATGTAGACCGAGCCTGCTGTGACTGTCCCTGAGTGCGTGAACTGTCCCCAGCCTTAGCCTTCTTCCACTGACCCCCAACGAATACTGATGAAGCCTCTCCACGTGGCTGCTTATATGAACCCTTGATCCTAAGCTGATCTCGGTCCTCTACCTCAACTAGCATAGCCTTCTGTACTACCTACCCATAAGTCCTCAGATCCAACACTAAAATTCATGGCCTAATATCAAGATGTAACCCATCCTGAAACTTTTTCGCCCTGAGCTCATCGGTGGCTACCATCTCTGGTGCATAGCAGGAAAGAGAAGTGAAGCGTGTCTCATACTCAATGACATTCATCCTGCCCTGATAGACACCTGTAAACTGCACTCTCATATCATGCCTCATAGCCATTGGAAAGAAGCGGTCAAAGAACAATATCCTGAACTCCTCCCAAGTCATCACCTCCACATCGTGGATATTGGTCATAGACTCCACCAGATATCGGCATCTCCCATGAACATAGAGGCTGTCAAGGATATCCTCAATCGGTCTATAGGTACTGCCATGCTATCGAGCTTGCGTACCATGAGATCAAACCATGCCTCTGAAGCAAGCGGATCCATACTTCCTGCAAACTGGTCGATCTTAACCCTCTGTAACTTCATGAAGTAGTCCAATGCCTCATTAGCAACTGGTGCCGGTGCTGGTGCCGGTACTGGAATCTGTATCCCCGCCATTTACTGGCGAAACATCGCCTGAATGGACTCTGACATCCCCAGAGCCACTCCCTGTGCAATTTACTCCTCGTAAGTCGGAGCTCGTGGTGGATTTGGACCCGTGCCATGAACTGGAATCCTAGGCCTCCCTGGACCCCTCGTAAACTCGGTGTCATCCACCTGCTCCCCAACGCCCTGACGCGAAGACTCCCCACGTGTGACAACCATGATGCTAAACATATGCAATGAAAGAGGTCAACAATAACATAAGTTATTATGACCGAATGCAACTCGTACTATGAAAGTAAGAAATACGAAGCAAGATGAGGTATGTAACATACGGTCATGATAAGGCAATCAAGGAAGGCTGTTTAAACAGTTAAGCACTTAAGCAATATGTTAAACAAGGATGCTTCTTAAACATATAAGCATACAAACATAGAGACATATCATAATAACAAGTATGTCACCAAGAAACATGTAATCATGTTAGAATGCCAAAAACATGTTATCAAATGTATGCTAATAAATCAAAGTACACTAACAAAAGCATGCTATGCACCCAAAACCCATCGTCCTAAGGTTTTCGAACCTAGGAGCTCTAATACCACTTGTGACGGCCCAAGTTTTGTAAACCCGGTGCGTCAGTGATGACCAAAAGATGACCCGATAACGGATCTGAAATGCGGAAGCGAAAGGTGAAACAACGGTCTCTAGAGATACAATGCGTCTCTAAGACACCAATGTGACCCTCAATGAGGTCATGGAACCCAAAGGAAAACCAATGCGGAAGAGTCGTTTCAAAAACGGACAAAAAGGAACCTAGGGGCAAAATGGTCATTTTGTAAAAAAAAAATGGATTCAAGTGCTATCGAGCACACCACTAGGAAGACAATGAAAAATTAATCAATTTTAAAAAAAAAAAAAAAAACTCACTTGATTTGGAGTCCGGATGAGGGAGAAAAGTCAAAAACAAAATCGACGTCACGGCGGCCCGACGAAGGCCGTGACAGCTACAGTGCCGTCACCCACTACTGCTGCAACTGAGAGTAAAAACGGGCATCTAAACGGACTTTTCTGGAAAAACTCAAAGAAGAAACCCCCCCTAAAATCAAGTTTTCTACCTGACACATGAACAGAAACCAAAAAACTGCATTGCAAAAAGGTCCAAAATACCCTCAAGAAAATCAGGTCTAGAGGTCAAAAATCGTTCCAAGCTACTGCCCAAAGAAAGGAAATAGGGCTTCGGAAGGTTTTTGAATTGCCTAAATTGAAAATGCAATCTTAATATACACCCACAAGACCCCTGGAAGTTTTGGATCGGTCGTCACACTTTTCAAAAAAAAGTCAATGAATAGTACCAAGTATATTTACACTAAAGTCGGCAAAAACCTGGCAGCAATGATTTTTCGGGAAAAAATCAATTTTTCAGGGCCAAGATGGCAGTTTCTGGAAAAACACAAAGAAGAAACCCCCCTCAAAATTGAGTTTTCTATGTGACACACAAGGAAAAATGAAAAAAAATGCATTTTGAAATACCCGAAATTCCCCTAGAATAGAATAGGGTAAAACTCCCTAAAAATGCTACTTAGAGTCTTTGTTTCATCAAGGATGGTTTTGTTTGCCAAAGTGAGCATGCAAGCATATGTAATGTGATAAAATAGATGTGTTGCAATGGCCTATGGCCTCATGGCATGTCATATGCAAAATAAAACCCTTCAATGCATTAATCCACATATCTTCCATAGGCAACAATGAAGTTCAAAGTTAGCATACATTTCACATAAGTGTATTTGGCCCTTGGCCTCATTACAACCACATTCTAACAGTGTCAAAAGGTGAACTTAAGTGCATATTACATAACTTAGACAATAACTACAAGTTTTATCAAAGTAAGCAAAAGTAGGACAAGATATGCTAACATATGCATATTTTATGTCATCAAAATATACTTCAAGAACTCTAGTGAGTCTAAGAATACTGTGCATCCCACACTAAGGCTTCTTTACCTGCAAAACACCCATTAACTTAGGGGTGAGTAAACAAGTTTACTCGTAGGGAATGCATGGGTTTATCTTTGTACCAAGTTACAATCCAATACCATTTAATTTATGCTATCAAGTGACAATAGAACTTTCAACATAACACAATGAGATGTAATTTTACAAAGTTAACAACTTGGAATTTAAATGCAAAATCAAACCAAAGTGGATACTTGGACGTCACGCCGGATCAAACCGACAATGTGGTTACTTTAGGGTTACTAGCCCATGGGTAACCTCCCTATGTGCGCACTAGACTTGTAGAGGGACTTTCCCCCGTACTAGAACCATGCCCTAACCATAGTCATAACAACGACATCCCCAAGTTTCCAAAATCAACATTTTGTGCACATTACATATATGTATCAACATAATATATATATATACAATGTAAAGCCATCAACATGCACAAATCAATTTTGGAAACACAATACATGCCCTAGGTTCTCAACTAAAATGGCATGAAGAACATTGAATGATCATTATGCTATTTGCCACTAATTACAACAATATCATTCAACAACATGAATATAACATCACAAGTATGATATAAGTTAAAAATCATAATTTAAACAATTTAATAAAACAACTAAATTCCCTAGATTTCACTTCTCATCCAAACATGCTCAATTTAATATATGTTGTAGTACATGTCATGGTTATTATATAAATCACTTCAAAACTTGATTTAAGTCATGGGAGCATATAAATAAAAATTAATTAAATTAATTCATTAATCCCTCTAGATTTTAAAACAACTCTAAATGACCTCAAATTAACATAAGTTATGAAGCAAGCCATGGTCATGTTATTTATCAAGTCTAAAGTGAATTACATACAAGTCACAATTAATTATTTATTTCTCATTTTAATACAAGACAAACATATAACTTAGATATCACTATAGGAACAAATAAAATCACTTGGAAGATAAATGATAACACCCTCTACCTCAATAGAGAATTGAATCTCTATAATCCAAGCAACCAAGCTCAAAATGGAAAATAAGTTTAGGGTTAATGAAGAGGGGAGTGAGAGGAAGTTTTTGTCTTCCAAGGTTTTATGTCTAAGGTGAGTGGAAGGAAGCCAAAATGAAGAATAAAGCTATTAACCAAGCTTTTCTCCAATGGTGGCTAGGTTATAGTTCTTGAAGACAAGTGAAAATGAAAATGATAAAGTGTAAAATGGTGAGTGGAAGGGTTAGAAATCCTCTACTCACTATGTGCTCTTACACTACCTCTCTCACACACATAATGCAAGACTAAATGATGAACCTACACTTGTCATGAATCTATGGTTCATTCCTAGGCTTAATCTCAAGCCTACACTTGTCACCATCCTATGTAAACTTCCAAGACTTAATATTGAACCTACATTTGTCAACCATCCATGCCAACAAGTGTACCAATCCTAGGCCAACAAGTGGGAGAATCTCCACCCTCCACATGTCATCATCCAACGCATCAAAGTGTTTCCACACAAATGTCAACAAGTGGACCAATGAGAGTGTGACACTTGTTACACTTTTCAGAAATTGCAAACAAGTCCTTTTTGAAAATATCTTCCAAATTAAATTACAAAATGGTCCCTAAGACGA